CCCCCCGGGGGGGGCGCGGGCCCCGAGCCGGCCCTGGGGGGCGCTGGCTGCATCGGGGGTGGGGAACGGGATCGGGGCCTTTCCCCTCTAGGGGGCGCTGGCCCCGAGCCGGCCCTGGGGGGCGCTGGCTGCATCGGGGGTGGGGAACGGGATCGGGGCCTTTCCCCTCTAGGGGGTGCTGGCTCCGAGCCGGCCTGTTTTTAGCTGCGGCCTGGCCTGACCCGTTAATTACCACATGGGGGGAGGCCTGGTTCTTTGGCGGAGGGGGCGAGGGAGGTGACCCAATCCGCAGGCTGGACGCTCGTGCTCGGTAAGAGAAGTAAATAGGTTTCGGAGAAGCGGCCGTGTCAGTCTGTATCCGCAATGAGAACCGGAGTCCTTGTGGCACCTTCGAGACTAACACATTTATTTCAGCATCCGCAAATCAGTGGCTCTAAATCGGATAGGTAAATAGGGCAGCCGGCTGCAAAGCCCGGACGTCGGAGCCAGCTACGGGAAGTGGGAGAACCCACAGGGCATCACTGACAGTGAACAGACCCCAAGGACTGTCACGGACTCACAGATCGTGCCCGCTCTTGGCCCCGTGCGGTCCGTGGGGGGGTCCCCTTCAGTGTGACAGCCCTTCTCGGGGGTCCACTCTCTCTCGGGGTCAGGCCCCTCCACCGCCTGGAGCCGCACCTCTCTGAGCCTGAGCACGTCTGTCTCTGCCGTGGGCCCCACAGGAGTCCCCTCGCTCTGGGTCCCTGGGGCCTCCACTACCAGAGGGAATAATACCCCCCCCCCGTTTCTCTAGCCTGGAGCGACCCTCAGCCGGCGTAACACTGGAGGTTTATTGAGAGTTGAACACAGCCCAGGAAACTCTCAGGGCCTCAGGCCTGGCCTCCCTCAGCCCAGCACATCCCAGTCTCTCTGCCTCCAGGTGGGCTCTGCCTGCTCCCCCTCTCCAGCCCAGAGCCCCCCTGCTCCCCAGCTGGGCATCTGAGATCCCTGGCCCCAGCCCCGCCTCTGTCCATTGTCTTCTCTCCAGGGAAACAGGGTCGTCTGGGCCTCCTCTCCCCTCTTCTGTCCTCTGCCCCCTCTGGCTGGAACCGGCTGGTCAGGACACCGGGGTCCTCTCTCCGCAGCCCATTGTCCTCCCACTGGCCAGAACCGGCTGTAACTCCTCAGCTGGGTCTCCGGGTCGTCAGGTCACCGGTCACTGGGGTCTCCGTCCTCCAGGCCATCGACTGGCGTCCCAAGTTCCCTCTCCAGTCCTCTGTAACCACAAACTCCCTCTCCCCTCCCCTCGTTAATCCAGTAACACCCAGGGAAACTGAGTCCCACCCCCTCTGCATGCAACCATTGGAAAAACAAGGAAAAACAAGAAAATCCCCCACTTGGTCACATCCAGCTCCTGGGACTGACGAGACGGGGCCACAGAGAGGGACCCAGGGGATCCCACCACCTCCCCGGCTGGATCCGGTCCACGGCTGCTGAGCGGGGCTTTGCCGTGGGGCTCTGGGGACCGAAGTCGGATCTGGTTTAACTCCGTTTCGTCTGGACGGGGTTAGTTTCACGCTGTGACCCGTCGGTCGCAGGTACACGAGGGCCTGTTAGACCCGGGCGAGGGGCGTGGAGCGAGCCGGGACCCGCCGCGGGGAACCGCTCAGAGCCGCCCAACGGCTGCCAGCTTTGGGAGCCGGGCGGGCGACTCTCCCTGCCCATCCGGCGGGCAGCCGGCTCCCACCCTCCTTCGGCTGCCCGGAGCCTGGCTCTGCGGCCGGGCTCCGTTCCCGACGCACACGACGGGAATTTTCCCTTTGCCCAAACGCGTCGTCCCTTGTGCCGTCTGCAATCCGAACTGGGCGACTTCCCTGGCCTGTCCCTGCAACCCGGCCAAAACCCGTCCGCTGCAACCCGGGGGCTCCCCAGACAAAGGGAGACGTCTCCCCGGGCAGCCCAAACGAACCCGCCTCCACCGCGGGGCTGATGCGCCAGATCCCGCTGTCCTAACCCGGGAGGAGGGAGGTTGAAGGCTGGGTCTGCCTGGGGCCGTCCCGCTCTGCTGAGCGCAGCCGGCAGCGTTTTGGGAGCGACAAGGAAGAGCGTTGGCTCCAGCTGTAGCTCCAGCCAAACACAATCTCTGGTGTTTGCGGGCGAATCATGTGGGCGCTGCCCAGGAGCCGCTGGGAACCGCGGCCCAGGAGGTGAAAAGTTCCCAGGCCGGGTGCTGAGAAACCTGGGGATTTGGGGGGGTTCAAAATCCAGAAACGGGGCTGAAAAGCTTCTGCACTGCCGGGGAATGTTCCCGAGAGTCGGGGCGAACCCCAGGAGGGCTGAAGTGACGCATCTTCGGGGGGATCCTCATGGCCCCTTCAGCTCGACCGCGCCACAAGCCTGGGAAATGCCGGGGTCTTTTATTGGCCTTCAGGGTTCTGGCAAGGCTGGGGTAACAGGGTGTGACTCTGGATTGACCCTGGGGGAGCTGGGATCAGAACCCGGCCATGCCCCCATTGCTGTCAGGTGTGACTCCGGATCCGCCCTGAGGGAGCTGGGATCAAAACCTGCTCCTGCTCCCTTTCCAGTCATGGTGTGACTCCGGATCTGTCCTGAGGGAGCTGGGATCAGAACCTGCTCCTACCCCCATTGCAGGCAGGGGTGACTCTGGATTTAGCAGCAGTATTAAGCCCTTTCTCCTCGTCTCACGGGCCCCAGGCCCTAGCGGAGACATGGACGCACAAGGAAGCTGATTTAAGGAGCCGGGGTTATTCTGTGCTGGGGGAGGGGGAGCCAGGACTCCTGGGTTCTATCCCGGCTCGGGGTGGGGGCTGGGGTCTAGTGGGTTCGAATGGGGGGGTGGGAGCCAGGACTCCTGGGTTCTATCCCGGCTCGGGCTGGGGGCTGGGGTCTAGTGGGTTCAAACGGCGGGGTGGGAGCCAGGACTCCTGGGTCCTCTCCATCACAGCCACAACACGGCAATGGCAACGTCTGGGTCGCAGACAACACAAAGGGCAACTCTAGCTCTGTCTGGCTGCAAAGTCGTTTGTGCCGAATGCCAAGAATAGAAAAGAGGAAGTTGAGATCAGAATCCAGCCGTCACCCCGCTGCAGTCAGGGAGTGACTCCGGATTGACCCCCAGGGGACCCGAGATCCGAATTCAGCCCCAAACCCATTTACACTGTGGCCGGATTTCGATCTCAGCTCCCCCGGCGTAAATCCTGAATTCTCACAGGTGACTCCGGCCCTCACACAACCCGCCAGGCAAACAAACACCATTTCTTTCAATCTCCTGATGAGTAAAGAAAAGCGCAGGGTTTTCAGGGCCCAGCCTAGGGATTTCCCAGCATTTAGGGGTTTATGGTTCCTTGTGTATCACCGGCAGTTCCCAGGTGATTGGCAGCAGATACACGGATTGTATTTGTCTTTGGCTCCCGCTTAATCCAACTTCTCACCTCCTTGTTCCTGTGTAACCGCCCCCAACTGCCAGAGACTCCCACCTCCCTCCCACTCGCAGGCTACGGACATTGCAGGGGGTCTCCAGACGGCTTCCTCGGGTGGCAAAAATCCCACAGGGAAAACCTCCTTGTGTTTGGGTTGCCAAGAGCATTGAGGAAATCTATTTTCTATGGGTCACAGAGTTAGCTCTGGTCGACTAGACCCCACCCCCCTCCCAGAGCTGGGGAGAGAACCCAGGAGTCCTGGCTCCCAGCCCCCCCTGCTCTAACCCACTAGACCCCACTCCCCTCCCAGCACCAGGGAGAGAACCCAGGAGTCCTGGCTCCCAGCCCCCCCTGCTCTAACCCACCAGCCCCCACTCCCCTGCCCAGAGCCGGGGAGGGAACCCAGGAGTCCTGGCTCCCAGCCCCCCCTGCTCTAACCCACCAGACCCCACTCCCCTGCCAGAGCCGGGGAGAGAACTCAGGAGTCCTGGCTCCCCAGCCCCCCGCTTTAACCACTAGACCCCACTCCCCTGCCAGAGCCGGGGAGAGAACACAAGAATCATGATTCCACGTTGCTTGCCCCATCACAGATAGGTGCCCCCCTTCCCCCTGCAGGGCTCATTGACTTTTGCCCTAAATCCCTCTCGGTGTTTATAGCTACAGGTCCCCGCAGCGAACACCGGCGTCCGTGACACCAGTCAGCGAGGAATAGGGACCGTCCGCGACCCTGGTGAAAACGAGACGCCCGCGCGTGAGCACGACTAACCGACACCAGGGGACGTCGCAATTAACGGCCAAGCTGCGGAGGCCGTAGATGGAGTCGTACGTGTCCAGCCCAGGAGGTTGGCCCAAAGAAATCACAACGAGAGACGGGCTGGCTGAGTTTGGAGAATCCGGAGCATCTTGAAATATACGACGAGCTGGATTGTTTCCCCGCCGTAGAGGCCCGGATTTGCAAAGGGATTCTGGTGTTGCTGCGCTCAGCACCTCACTGATTTCGAAGACTAAATCCTATTTTCTAACCGGACTTCGGCACTTTGGAGCTGTGGGGCGATCGGCTGGCGCCAGGCCTAAGGGAAAGTGAACCGTGGGTTTGGCGAGGAGCACGAGCAATGGGGCTGGACCTCGTGAACCCCCCCCCAAAGACTGAGATGATGCGAAAGAAAAGAGTCATTTTGGTGCCGTTTGCAGTGCCCCTGGGAGTGCCAGCGTTCACCTGCTTTAGCGTTAGGATTGCGGTGATGGAAAGCTGGATAATCGGGCAGAGGGGCAGTGAAGAATGGGTCTGAGACACTGAATCCCGGCGTTGGGAAGAAATACGGCAAAATAGGATCAGAAATCGACCTGGAGAAAGAGGCGTAACCATGACGCCTGTCCCAAGAAAACAGGGTCCCGGCCTAGCTGCCGGTCCAGCCTTAGCGAGGGGCCGGTAACTAACAGCGACGTCCGTTATAGCGTCTCAGGAGACAAGGTTTTTAAGACAAGGTTTGTGGGAGTTTTTTCCTTCCCCCTTCTGCAGTCCGGCCATTATAGGAGGCAACTCCCAGGCCGGGGCCCTGGTGGGAGCGTCCAGCCGGTCCTGAGACCCGTGTTGTTGTTAGGATGGAGGGTACAGCCGGGCGCGTCTGCGCTGGCGTTTGTATTGTGGGTGTAAGCGGCACCAAGCGGTGTTTGGGCCGACCCACGAGGCCGTGCGTGGAATCAGGTGTGAAACGCTGGCCCGAAGCGACTGGGAAACTGAGGCAGCTGACCCAAAGGAAGAGTCTGGCCTGTCTGCTGGGTGGACGAGAAGGCACATGCCTGGGTCAGAAGTGAGGCTGTGATGTCCCTGATACTCGGGCATGAGGAAGTGGATTTTACCTACTTACCCACAATCCTTTGCTACAATTCCCAGAACCTCCCCCTCTAACTCCCTCCAAGGACACCTGCAAATATTCCTCCTCTTAGTCTGATAACAATGGTTTATCCAGGGACCCCTCGCCCGGCGCTGGGACGTGGCCCCTCTGGGGGGCTGGGCACATGGGGACCCCTCACCAGGCGCTGGGACGCAGCCCCTCCAGTGGGCTGGGCACATGGGGACTCCTCGCCCGGGGGAGGGACCCAGGTATCCGGGATGGTGGGGAGGGGAGGGAGGAGAAATGGGACCCAGGTGTCCAGGATGGTGGGGAGGGAATGGAGGGGGACTGGGACCCAGGCGTCCAGGATGGGGAACGGGACCCAGGTGTTTGGGACAGGTCCACTCAGGGCCCCCAGAGACTCGGATGGGGATTGGGACCCAGGCATCCGGGACACCAGCCCGAGGCAGCGGGACGGGGC